AAGCTGAGACTAAAAACTAACCAGGACAGGACTCATTGTTCTCACTGTAACTTCTAAATGACTGCTTGTTTTAGTGTTTTTGTTTTTGTTTTTTTAAATCTTTTTCTGGTGAATATTTATTTATTACCAACAGGAAAGCACTATTAATTAACTTTCACAGTAACTCTCATTCCCTAAAGGATTATTAAAAGGCTGTTTCCAAGATCAAAATTTGAGAATGGAGGAAGGTGGGTCAGTGTATCTGCACGTATAGATTTGAAAGTTGTGTTTTCTTACAGACATACACCATTCTTTCTAGCCAAATGGTAAACATACTATATTCTTAAGCAATATGTTTTTGAATGAAAAGTAGTGTTTTCACTGGGTTAAGCAGGGGGCACACAGTATTTTCTGCTAGACAAGATATTGCCTCCAGTATATCCACTAGGCTCAGCCAAAGTATGGGTAATAATAAAAATCAATGGCTATGGCCTGTGCACAGTAGATACAAATCCTTTAAATAACAAAATGCTTAAGCTGTCTTTCCAGAAAAGTCCTCCAGACACCACTGGAGGACAATTTAGAGCTGTCTCTACAAGATTGGCTATGCCTAGAAATCAGATTGTCTATGTAAAGGCCTTTCAAAATTTCCCCTGTAGAACCTGACATACCTGCATAAAACCGCAGAGACAATCCATGTTTGTACAAAGAAGTATAAAGCCTGACCTCATCATCCAATTAAGAACAGCTTCTCCTCTCTCTTACTTCACAAAACCCCATCACAGACCTATCCAAGAGTCCAAGCTGAGCTTACAGTTCCCTCTTCTTTGCTGACTGTCAGCGAAGGGAGAGAAATCCCAGCATTTCTGTGATTGTGCATCAGTAAGCCCTGGCTTGACATCAAGGAGAGAGCAAAAGCTTCTCTGGCTCCCTGCCTCCCATTAGAGAGCAGCAGCTGGGGGAGGGGGACAATGGGAGAAACCCTGCACAAACCTCAGCTCGTGTCTTGGGTATTTCACAAGGAACAGCATTTGTCTGGCAGCGGAGAGGCCCTGGTTCTATCCTCAGTATAAATAACAAATACAACTGGAGAATTCATCTGAGAGCTGACATCTACCATTAACTCCCATTGAATGTGAGAGTCAATATGGCAATGAATAGGAAAGGAGATGTCATTTAATGTGCACAGATTTGAATGACAGGATGACCACCGTCAGGAATGCAGAACAGACTTAACATCTTGTCTTTGTTAGGGTTTCTACTGCTGTGATGAAACACCATGACCAAAAGCAAGTTGGGGAGGAAAGGGTTTATTTGGCTTATGCTTCCAGTTCATAGTCCATCACTGATGGAAGTCAGGACAGGAAATCAAGCAGGGCAGGAAGCTGGAGGCAGGAGCTGATGCAGAGGCCATGGGAGGGTGCTTCTTATTGCCTTAATCTTCATTGCTTTCTCAGACTGCTCTCTTATGGAATGCAGGTCCACCAGCCCAAGGATGGCCCCACCCTTATGGGCTGGGATCTCCCCCATCAATCACTAATTAAGAAAATGTCCAAAGGTTTTTCTACAGCCAGATCTTACAGAAGCATTTTCTCAATTGAGGTTACCTCTTTTAACTCTAGCTTGTCTAAAGCTGATATAAAATTAGTCACAGCTCCTAGGGGACCAGGATGAGGCTTGTATTGTCTAAAGATGAAGGGCATGTGTGATTTTGTTTAAAATGCCATTGATTTGTCCCGCATTACATCAAACACCTCTAATTTTTTTGCTAGGAGAGAAAGAAATGCCACACCCTGTGCATTTGGAAGGTCAAGGGTCAAGCACATTCTCATGGTCCCAATATCAGCTTCCATTGTTTATAGCACAGAGGAAGCCTTCTGGTTTAACTTTTATTACTTCTCTATCTTCCAACAATACATGTTTATAACTTTTGCTGTTAATTCTCATCAAGTTCAAAGAGAATCAAAAATCTCAAATCAATTATCTGGACTCATGGGCAGATTTCAGGGGATAACGAAGCTACTGTGGAGGGCTCTGCTGCAGGGAAGCTCCAGGTCATCAGGGCACCTTCATCCCAGGGCTGACTGGAAGCACCTTCCCCAATCTCTATGGACAAACCCAAGGTGGCTAAATTCTGAAAGGCATAGCTCATAGATACTTTCCTTTTCTAGATGAAGTCTTTTAGGAAGAAAGCTGTAGATGTAACCAACCGTCTTATTAAATAAGAAACACAGAACCAATGTAAAGAAGAAAACCAAGAGGTCAGAGCTCAGAGCTAAAACCTTACCCTTCCTCCTGTGGTGGTCCTACCTCTCCAAAAGAGACCTACTTCCTGTGTGCTTGTCTTTATATAGTCTTTCTGTTCTGCCTTCTCATTGGTTGTAAACCTAAACACATGACTGCCTCATCACTGTCTGTATATACAGCCCTCCAGGTCTTCTATGGTATTGAGATTAAAGGTGTGTGTCTCCAATGCCGGCTGTATCTTTGACCACACAGAGATCTACCTAGCTCTTCTACCAAGTGCTAGGATTAAAGGCATGCGCCATGAACGGCCAGCTCTGCTATCGCTTGCTATTAGCTCTGACACCCAAGCAACTTTATTTATTAACATACAAATAAAATCACATTTCAGTACAAATAAAATACCACCAGAAAGCCAAGGATGTCTTAAATTTTTGTGTGTATATTACCTGAGAAGTTTGGGTCTTTAATTGAAGAAGATTTCTTTTTCTTGGTAATATGGAATAAATCACCCACATGTCTTCGTGCTTCACAAGAATGTTAAGTAACCTCCACCCTAGCTCGGGTCACGGCTTTGTTTACTTTCTAACCCAAATCTCTTACAAATAGAAGCAAGCATGACATCAGCTCATATCAGATTTCACCCAAAAGAAAATATTAATATACTTAAAGCATTTAGAAATTTTCTACATGTGCTTAGGCACTGTAAGGTGATGGCTTGAGCATCCTTGTGGCATCTACTACTCACACACATACACAGATTTCTTTTGAAACACAATTTCCAAGGAGGAAATTCTGTATCAGACAGACTAGAAGCCTTTTCTAGAAGTGCACTCAATGCCCAAATATTTTCTGGTAAATCTTTAACATCCTCTATGTATTTTTCTTTTTTTTTTTTTTAAAAATTAGATTATAAAGCAGATGAAGAAAAGTAAATTCCTTCATTCGAAATAAAGCCTCTTATCATTTTAGATAAATAGCTCTCCAGAAATTTATCATTGTTTTAGAAAAATTCTGAGCTGGCAAGATGGCTCAGTGGGTAACATAATTGCTGTGCAACCCCGATGACCGGCCTCAGTCCCTGGAACCCATGTAAAAGTAGGAGAGAACTGACTGCAAAAGTTTTCCTCTGACCTCCACACATGCACTGTTTTATGTAGAACACAAACACCACACACTAATAATTAGCAATAATAATATAAATATTTTAAGAATCTATCGAGAAAAAATACACATGTGTGTGTGTACACACACAAATGCACACACACTAATTGACCTATCCCTTCAATAACAACAGGAGTTCATCCATAAGTTCTCATGAAAAAGTGAAGTTTCACTAGGTACTTTCTTCAAACACTGACACATCAGGAGTTAAATTTCCAAAAGATGAATTTTGAGGGATGAATTCAAATTACAGCAAGAGCCAGAAGAGATTTAAATTTGACAAGTCAGCAAAGTTAAGACTAATATCCTTTTGATATCTTTTCAGATTTTTAATTTAATTTTTAATGTCGGCATATCAAGTAGTAGATTTCATCATGGCAGCTTCTTACATATGCATAGTTATTCTTTGTTTTCATTCACTACTTTCAATTTTAGATTCAATGTAATATCAACCTCTATGTATTTTCAATCCTCAACATTCTACTTTTCTCATCCATCTCTAAAATTATTTTTGCCTTTTTTCTTTAAAAGATGGAATTATCTTAAGAAAAGTAAAAGAAAACCCATCCAGATTTCTGCCTGTATAAGCCTGAGGGATACCTGCAGTGATGGTTCATATTTATTGTCAACTTGACAGGATTAAGAGTTGCCATGGAAACATACCTCTGGCCGTGCCTGTGGCAGACCATTTAGATTAGGTTAACTGAGGTGGGAAGACTCATTCTAACTTTGGGTGGCACCATTCCTTGGGCAGGAGGCCTAGACTGTACAAAAAGGGGAAAGCAAGCTGAGAACCGCGATTCATCTCCCTCAACTTTCTGACTGTGGATGTCATGTCACCAGTTGCCTCAAACTTCTACCACCGCGGCTTCTCTGCCATGATGGACTGAACTGAAAGTGGAAACAAAGTAAACCACCTTTTCCTGAAGTTGCTTCTGTGAGGGCAACTTGCCATGGCAACAAGACAATCGACTAAGATACACAGTTGCAAAGTGGCCACATGCTCCTTACTCTGAGCTCCCTGAAGCTGAGAGCAGTGTCTGCTTAGATACTCAGAGATCTGGAAGCACCTAGATAGATTCACAGTCTAACAGGACCAGGATGGGCCTGGCATGGATGAATGCCCTGATTAGTCAGTACACAGCCATTGTCGAGATAGCAGATGCAACATTCTAGTGGATTCAGACATCCCATCAAAATAGCCAAGCCATCCAAGTCATTAACACAGTGACTGGTCCAAAACAACGACAATTTCTCCAGTTTCCACTGTGGTCCCACACATGAAATTAACGACAACAACAACAACAAAATCATTAATGTATTCAGACCTGGCCACAATTTCTTATGTGTTTCTTTTCAACAGAAGTGTTCTTGCAGTTTATTTTTAGAGTACAGAAGGGTAGGTGTAGAGACCATTCTATTAATCCAAGAAAAGAGCATAGAACATTTGAAGAGCTACTTGGCTATTTCCACCTGCTGTCACAGATCACAAAAATGTCTACTGGGGTAGCAGAACAAGTGGAAATGTTCTCAGGGAACCTAGTTTTGCCTCTTCTCTCCCACCCCCATTGGCACCTCACTCCCAGAGGACAGCTACTGCTGTTGGTACTCACCAAACCTTGGCAGGTAGAAAGGGCCACTGAGGAATTCCCCTGGGACCTTAAGGAGCCTTGATAGAAGCAGAACTCCTCGGGTGGAAACATCTGCACAGATGTGGTGCCTCCCTTCCCCAGAGTTTGTACCATGAATCCAGGAGCCACTAAGTTGCTGGCAGCTTTCAGGTCTAGATGGAGGTCATGCCTGGGGCCCTTCAGGCGCAGATGCAGGGCATCTCCTCCTGGCTGGGCCACTGCTCTCCGCCTCCGCCGTTGCCGCTGGTGGTGCGTGATGTCATGGGATACATAATCCCCCCTGTGGTCCACCTCATAGGCAGACACCAGGTCGTACTCTGAAATTGAGAAAGGAGAAGACGCTGAGTAATTCCGGAGTTCTGAGAAGAATCCCAGATTGACTACATACGATAGCTGTTCCATCAGTAATGAAATATAATCTGAAAGAGCAATTCTTGTTTGATGTGGCATTTGTTCCCCCTTAATGTGCAGTGGAATTTGCTGTGTCAGTAATAAAGTGTCATGGCAGCAGAGATTTATCTGAAGGTTGCTTCCAACATTTCCTCACTTAGCTCTGTTGTTTATCTCTCCATGTGAATTTGAGACTCAGTGGATGTTGAATCCCCGCCCCCCTTCCCACCATCTCTTACTGGGTGGAAATGGCAAGATGGTCTTCGGTTTTATAATAGTTGTGAAGCATTCCTTTCTTCATACTCTTTATATTTTGTATAAAAACCTATACTGGACTGAGAAGAAATTTTGGCTTCAAGTACCATAATTAAAAGGAAAAAATGATAAATTTTCTTGCTGTTTATTTAATTCTGAAAGCATTGAACACACAGGAGGAAATGTAGACTACAGACACACCCCAGAACTCATGGATTACTATACAGAGATACTCTCGTGTGCTGAACTTCCTGAACGACCGCAGACCTTCCCATTTCCCTGGTCTCCCTTTTGTCATCTGTGACAAATGACAGTGTCCGCAGCACGTTTCTGGCTCAGGTCTCACCACTATACTCTGTGGTGTCTAGGTTGAAAGCACATTCAACTAAACTAATTCATAACAGCAAAAGAAACTCTCAAAGACCCTGTCGGACATACACAGCCAAGACCGCAGAGTCATCTAGTATCTGCGCCCAGAGTCACCACTCTCTAAGAAAGTGGAGAGGGGGGTTTGTTTCTGAGCTCCACTGCGGTCCCATGGATATTGAAACATCTTCTGCCATTATGGGAAACCATCTTTTTATTTATTAAGCTGACAACCAGGACTTTCTCAGCTCCTTACCATCATTTACAATATTTTCTCTGTGTCCGCAATCTGAGAAGGCTATTTCCAGGAGGGCAGGAGCCAAGGGCTGGACTTCTTGATCAGGGTCACAGCTGGCTGCTCAGCCATGTTATCAGCTGAGACCTGTGGCCAAGGTAGTTTTGTCGAGGACAAGGTTAAAAAAATACTTTAGCTTGAGATTAGCTAGCTTAGTTTATATTTTTAAAATATTTAATTAAGCATGGTGTGTGTGTGTGTGTGTGTGTGTGTGTGTGTGTCCATTTGTATATGAGTGTTGGTGGGCTTTTGTGCCTGTATTTTTTCTAATAGCTAAAAACGTGTCAGCATGGTTTCAGGCCTTCCTCTGAAGGTACTGTGAGGTGTCTTGCAGAGCACACCACTCCTAGCATGGGGAATCGAGGGATCTAACCTGACAATGAGGCAGATCACCCTTCAGACTCGAGCCACAGCACCTTTGGAGTTTTACTGGTTCCAACATTCTTTTTTTTGTTGTTGTTGTTTTTGTTTTTGCTTTTGTAGACAGGGTTTCTCTGTGTAGCTTTGTGCCTTTTCTGGAACTCACTTGGTAGCTCAGGCTGGCCTTGAACTCACAGAGATCTGCCTGGCTCTGCCTCCCAAGTGCTTGGATTAAAGGCGTGTGCCACCACCGCCCGGCAGGTTCCAACACTCTAAACTGACATTTTCTCCATGAATTATAAACAGATTTCTTCTTCAAAGAGGTAGCTCAGAGACTCCTGGTAATCAGGCTCCTCTTCTGATTCTTCATGAGCAGACACACTTTTCAGACCCTTGTGTAAAGTATTATTTGATTATAGTGAAGCAATATCCAGGTAGTTACCACCAGTTTATTTTGAGTGGACACAGCCACTTGTCTGTGATGCTATTCTGTCCTGCCCAAGAAATAAACGGGGAAACAAAAGAAACATGGGCAGCAGCCAGTGACATGCCATGAAAGGCACGTGTCTGGGTTTCGGAGAGGCGAGGAAGATTGGAGATTACAAGCAGAGTGCTTTGTTGGGATGCTTTTCTGACAACCATGCTAGATGAGGAAACAGGAATGGCAGGACCATGATGCCTGCCACGCAGCAGAGAGTAGGCCAGGCTTCTGCTCCTGAGATGACTCTTCTCCTCCTCCTCTTCCTCCTCCTCCTCCTCCTCCTCTTCTTCTTCTGGTCCCCAGCTTTCATCTGTCTCTCTCCAGTGCCAAACTTCATCTACAGGTCTAGCAAGTGAGAACACCTGGCTGGGCTGAGCAGCAAGCCATAGATTAGGGAGGCAGCAGGCTCTGGCAGGTGACTGGCTATCTACATCAGAGCAGGTGATTTAGCTTTGGTGGTGTAGGACACGCAGGTTTCTATAGTATTTTAGGCAGGGGTGTGGAAGATTGTAGCTAGAGTTTTTTTGGTCCTGTCTGGCCCACAGTCAGGATAAATCTCTCTCACCCACCAGTTCCACAGCCGCCCAGACCCAACCAAGTAAACACACAGAGACTTATATTGCTTACAAACTGTATGGCCGTGGCAGGCTTCTTGTTATCTAGTTCTTTTATCTTAAATTAACCCATTTCTATTTTAATTAATTAATTAAATAAGGTATAATTAATCTATACCTTGCCACGTGGCTCGTGGCTTACCTGTATCTTACGTCATGCTTCTCCTCATGGCGGCTGGCAGCGTCTCTCTCTGTCTCAGCCTTCTACTTCCCAGAATTCTCTTCTCTGTTTGTCCTGCCTATACTTCCTATCTGGCCACTGGCCAATCAGCATTTTATTTATATAGAGCGATATCCACAACAGAGGATTGGACAGTTTGGTACATGGTGAAGGGGGAGAGGCAAGCACACCAGGACTCAGCACATCTGAAGTGAGAACGAAGGTACATACTCTGTCCGCACACTGCTGGTTTGTAGTTCCCCAAAGTGCCTCCACTGCTCTCTGCACTGTGCGGTAGGCATGTCTGCTGGGGTGTCGTTAGCTAGCACACCCGGCTGCTCGTGGGGGAGTCCCTCGTACCACTTCTAGATCCCCCCCTCCTGCAGGGGCATGGAATAAAGGCAAGAGGCACAAATCTTGTTGTGAGCCTCATTAGTGAGCTTCGTTGTGCATAGAAAGGTGATCATGGCCACATCATCCAGATATACCACTCCTCAATGTGTGCCCGGAGTGCTCTCAGTCAACAGGCAGCAGAGACACTGAACACTGTTCACAGTAGCCAAGTGACAGAATCAGCCTAGGTGTTGGTCATCAGGTGAACAGATATGGAAGCTGGTAGACACACACACACATACACACACACACACACACACACACACGAAGGGGTAAAGAACCAAGCTATTTGCTTGCAGGACAATGTATGTATGTAACCATAGATGATCATAATAAGTAAAATAAGACCCAGGAACTTAAATACACTATCTTTTCTCTTATTTTGAAGAGTGGATATTTTCTACAGATGTGTAAATCTTATGTTTGTATACAATATTAAGTTAGAAGTGAGACTATCTGGGGCAATGAATGAGAATGGTGAGAGGCAGAGGTGGGGGACAGAGGAGGGTGGAGAGTGAATGTGTCATGGTATATTCATGTGCCAAAGACCTTATGAAGCCCACCAGTGTGCACAATGAGCATATGCCAATCAGTGAAGAAGAAAGTGAGTGCTACCTAACAATGCAAACAACTCACCAGTGATATAACCTATATTTGTGTGGCCTTTGATTTGGAGGAGAGAATATGTATTATCTGAGCAAGGACCATATAGTATTAATTGTATCTAGCAACTATTGCTAATTTCCTTTCATATAAAGAAGTCTTGTTTTGATAAATGTCGGACACCTAGCTGCCTGGGTGAGTGGCCTGGTGTGTGGCATTGATAAACATTTGCAGACACTCTGACAGGAGACAGTTTAATGACCAGTGCGACACCAGGGAGAAAACATTCAGGAAAACCCTGCTATAAACACCATGGGCTCAACAACATCAGCATCAAGGGAGGTTTAAATACTCCAAACTTTTAAGTTGTAGGCTTTGAGCATTTTGATATTTAATAATTGTTTTGGATATAATTCATTTCACTGTCTCTTTTGAACTCTCTCGAAAGTTCAGTACCAGCTCTCAGGAGATATTGTGTGCTGGGCCTGGGACAGAATGCCTTGCTGTGGCCTGGACCCACCTTCCTCCAGACAGCTGCTTCTCCCAGGAAAGAACTCTGCTCTCTATGCAGACTGTTTTTGTTGTCACAGAGGGGGAAAGGAGAATGCTGTCCCTGCATCAAGGAGGCTGGTGGACAGTGATCATGGACAGGACAGCCTCTCAAGAGCGAAGTGTTACTCCTGCCGGAGCTTGATTTTATCAAGGAAGTCATACCTAGAAGCAAATACTTGCAAATGCATGTGAACGGGTCAGAGACTGCAGTGAATGAGCTCAGAAGGCAAGCATCTGGCTGCACTTGCTGCGCCAATGAAGTCAAAGAATAACTGCAAGAAACCAAAAGCTATGCCCTTACTTAATGTTTAATGTGTTAAGATAATCACTCCCCAAACCAATGACTTGTGATTTAAAAAGAAACAAGACTCCCGCAGTTTGATAACCCTTTAAATAAGACCTGGTCCTTGCAGATGTTTGCAATGAGAGAAAGGTCACGAAGGGCTCCCTGACTCAGAACTCCCGGTGGCTTGATTACAAGAGGTTTCTTGAGCACAGCCTCACGTTTGGGAAGGCTCCTGTCCAGAAATGATGGCATGAAGTTCAGGCATACCAGTGAATGTACCAGAGGGAACAGCAAAGACTCCTATGAAGGCTGGTCTGGAATACCTACTCCTCACATGTGTTCACACTGGTTGTTTGAAAATGGCCATAGCAAAAATATCCACAGCACAGGAATCAGCATTTGCCATGAGTCAGAGCCCCAAGTCCTACCACAAGCCCTAAACACTCATGAGCACAGCCTGGGCCTGCTCTATCTCAGGATATTATATTTATGCATATATGTCTACATGCAAGTCATTGTAAACCTGGAATATACATGCATAAATATACATCCTTTATGTCTAGCTAAGTAAAGTGCTTTTAAAAAAGGATTTCTTTTTTTACCCAGATAGCCTTGGATTTATCTCTCTAGCACCGCCCACCCTCACCCCCCACCCCACTTTGTAAAATTCTAAAGAACTTCTGAACTTTGCCTTGGATCTGGAAGCCTAAGGTTTTTTAAAAAGCAAGAAATCGGTGCTATGCTCTTGATGGTGACCATGGATGTTATTAAAGAGATAAACATGTAATAAAACCATTGAGTAATAAAAAAGCAATACAGAGTCATCAAAAAAAGTAAACTGATGCTTTCATGTTTGCTAATCAAATTTATCTCAATTTAGTTAGCCATCATTGCTTCAAGGAGCGTGTGAGTCTCTCTTTCCAACTGCATAACTACCTCATACAGCCAGCAGAGTAGCAGGAACCCTTACAAGTCTCACTTTCTGCCAAACTCTTAGCTTGAATGTTAATTAAGCAATCAGCATGTATCATGGAGACCGGGCTTCCCACCATACACAGACCCGACCGGAAGGTCACGGGTGCTCTTGGCCCTACAATCAGCATGTATCATGGAGACCGGGCTTCCTACCATATGCAGACCCCACCGGAAGGTCACCAGTGCTCCTGGCCTTGTGTGTCCTGCCACATCTTGCCCCTGTTGTGTGCCTGCCGTCCGCTCTCACTTTGTCCTTTGGTCACTAAGGAACGACAGCATCAGGAGGTGGGTGTGCAGGCATCATCTCTCCACTGTTACCACCCTGGCAATCACTCACACCCTCGGTGGGTGCTGCGTGCTCCGGTCAGGTTGATCAGTGTCTGCCGTGGAAGGAGAGCCCTTGGGATCGGGAACTGAGATGCCCGGCCATGAGAGATCTATGACCTCAGGCAGGAAGCTTCTCTTCTCTTCCTGAACAGTGCTCTGTCTATGTTATCACCTTAGAAAAGCCTTCATTAGTGTGGTAAACATGTCCCGAGTGGGCTGGCTGGATTGCCCAGCCTGCTCCATGCTAAACCTGACGACCTCCACAGCGCCCTGCAGCCTACACATGCAATAAACCAATGTGGAAAACGTCATGCGTCCCTACGGAATTCTCATGGTTTTATTATGAAAGTCGACCAAAGTCCAACGTTAGAGCAGTTACACCTCCCATAGGTCATGATGTTGCGGAAGAGGGAGAGAGGTAGAAGCGCGGTGGAGATGAAGGTGCCCAAAGGTGGGCTTCAAACAGCTTTTCTTCACAAAGGCGCGGAAAACGGGCTCACCTCATTGTACTGTTTGCGTCTGGCGCCCTCCAGTGGTGCTCAGAGGCCTAGGGTCGAGACTCATCTATCCCTTCCTAACTACCCCGTCCGTATTTAGGAGGGGGAATTTTCAGCATCCAATGTGAGCATCCAGCTCTGTTAAGTTTACCACGACGAAGAAAGCGATAATGAGGATTTCCGAAGTGTCGATTCTTGAATCGTGTAAATTTTCTGAAAATCCACCAAGAAGCTAAACCTGGCTCGCCTCTGGTCGCCAACCTCGCTAATACTCTGAGTTTTTTCATCCCGGGGGAAGGGCAGGGAAGGTAACATCCCTCCTGTGCGGCGGACCTAGCGGACTAGAACCTCCTAGCGACCAGTGCGCTAGCCTGACTTCTCAGTCACCAGGCATCATTGCCAGGACAAAAGCCACCTGGGAACCACAGAGGAGGCCCTACCTTGAAAAAGACTGAGATTCAAGTTCATACCCAAGATGACCCAGGACAGGAACCCTGCCTTGGGATGTTCTGCTACTGATACTAAGGAGGGCACCTTCAGTCTCCTGCTGTAACAGTCAAGAGTGGAGAAGGAGGGCGAGGGGGAAGATGCTGGAGTCGGGGCTTCGCTGCCTGGGATAGGTTTGGTGTATATACATTAACGACGCGTCTATCACGTCAATATACAAAGTGATCTAGAACCTTCCTACTCTCAGATACATTACTCTTTCTCCAACGTAACGCTAGCATGCCATTGCCTTTTCACTGGAAAAATACGATACAGGTATTGATGGGAGGTCATCCGTGAGCAGGAGCTCACAATGTAAAGAAAAAGCAAGATAGCATCTTCAAAGCACTTAGTGTTCTGAGCCGCCTCCCCCCCAACCCACCCAGGGGCGTGCAGATCAGCGGCAGGGGGTTGCCAAACGCTTACCTGCGAGAATCCAAGAGCCCCCACCTCGCGGACTTACCGTCGGTTTCCAGCCAGCCGGATTGAGAGGATGGCGGAGGGTGCGCGTCTCTCGGATTCTCAAACGCTGCAGCTGAGGGTCCCAGGGCGCACGCAGGTGTGTGCTAGAAAAAAGTGAAAGCACCTCAGTGAGTATGCGGGACTGCATACACAGCCTAGCCACCTGAGGAATGCGCTTCCCGTCTTCAGGGACTCCACTGGTCCCTGCGCGACTCACTCACCTGTTCACTGACCTGCGCCAGCAGCAGCACCCAGAGTGCGGCACAACCATGCGGCTGCATGGCCCCGCCACCCTGAGGGCTCACAGGACTCAGCTCAGCGGTCTCCCCTGGGTCACTGGATAGTCCCGGTGCAAGTGGTGTGCCAGGGAGCAGGGGACAGGATCCCGCAGAAGCGCAGGGACTCCACCACGCACGCACAGCAGTTATCACTGCAGCTTCGCTCTGCACCAGGGGTGGAGTGGCAGTGGTGGCGGGGGCGGTGGAGCACCCGCCCCAACCATGGGACAGCAGGGAGGAGGGAGAGGGAGAAGAGGGCAGGGCGAGGGAGGGCAAAGGAGAGAAGGAGAGGGGAGGGGAGGGGAGAAAGGGGAGGAATAAAGAGGGGGGAGGGGTACCGGGAGGAGAAAGGCCAGGGAGGAGTGGCAGGGCAGAGAGATTAAGAGACCCGAGATCCACCATAGGGGCATCCTTCACACATCAGGGTGTTTTGTCCATCTACATGCAAGCCTGGGCTAGAGACAAAGCCAGGACGGTGTAGTATCTAGTCATCTAGCCCTGCACCGCCCAGTGACTAACTGTCTGGGTGTGGGACTCCCAAGAGCTATGATACCACTGAAGTTCCGTGGGACTTCTCACCTGAGGGCGGGACTGGGCAGCATAGGGGCAGGCTTTTTGTTGTCGTTCCCAGCCATAGTCCCTCCATAGCCCGCCGTCCCTTCTGGTGCGGGATGTACAGGGAGCAGTGGATCTGCTCATGAATGAATGTGAGCCCGTAGTTGTCCTGGGGCATGTGATGTGAAGGGGTAAATGAGGCAAGATAGGTAAATGAGGGCAGTGTAGGACAGTGCATGGTAGAGCAGGCTGTCGAGGAAGCTGGGTCCCCCACTTCTCTAGTTTGGTATTGGACAGCAATGGCTGCCTTCAGGTTCACCTTAGCATTTGCCTGGTCTGTTCTGAGAGCAGGCGTAGGTGACTGGGTTCCTGAGGTATCCTATTAGGAAGTCTGGGGATGCCAATCTAGATCAAACCAGGTCCCTCCAAGGCAACCAGTGAATGTTGTCCCTCCAGGCCTGTGTTCTGGTCCATCCCTGGCCTGTGTATGTTTTTGATCATGAAGGCCATTTGTGACCATCAACGTGTGGGTACAGATACATATAGCGCCGAGTGGACAGGTAGGTGTTTGTGTACCTGTGACTGCCGACTGCCCACCTCAACGGTTGTCTTCCACTTACCCTCTGCAGATCCTAGGACCCAGGCTCCCATGCACTTTCGATTTTAGTGTCCCTCATTTGCAGCTGGACTGACCTTGCCTGATCCGTAAGCATGGAAAGGGGATGCATGGACAGCAGTGGTGTGGTTTGCAGGGTCCTTGGCCCATCCTACATGGAGCTGAGATACCCCAGGATGGCTCTTTATGGGCCCAAAGTGTCATACATTCCAGAAAAGTGGGAGCGGTGTTGAGACTGACTGTGTGTGTGCACAGCTGTACTGCCGCCCCCCCTCACTCTCTCATACACACACGTAAAATTTCTTCGAAAAGTAAAATTCTGTTGTTTTACTATTTCATTTTTATAATTACATGCACATATATTGTCTCTTATCAAAGCCCCCCACTATCCTCTCTTATCTCCCCTCTTTTCCACCAGATCTTTCTTGATTTCATTATTCCCATCTCCTTCCTACCCCCCCAACCATGTGTATGCGTGTGTGTGTGTGTGTGTGTGTGTGTGTGTGTGTGTGTGTGTGTGTGTGTGTGCTACAATAGCTGCTTGGGCTGTCCTGTGGTTTCTGGTTTACCCTGCACAGAAGTCAGCCCAGTAGCTGGGATCTCAGTGGCCATGGATACTCAAAGGAGAATCTAATGAAAGGTCCCGAGGTTCATGTTCTATTCTGAAGGAATTGGGTCAGTACTTAGCACTTTGTGTGGACTGGAAGAGCACACTTCCATTGGCCCGGAGATGTGGTATTGCCTAGTAACTTGGCAGTTTCAGGACTGAGAAGTGCCCGGCTCCTCCTTACAGGTCCCTGGGGAGCAGCTGTCCCACAGAGGAGGGAAAGCCTTCCATGACCACACCTGACACCACTGTCCCATGGCGGGGGTGGGGGGACCAGGTCAGGCTTTCCTTGTCCCCCAGCTACTCTTTTGACCTCACTAGAGGGTGACTTCTAGGCCTGGAAACAGAATTTCCCTCCATCATGAAAACTAAGCATAGTAAAAAAATAATAAAAAAAATGTATTTTTTTAATTGGTTAGGGTGTCCTGTGAACATGGGGAGGTATAGCTTTGGAAATCAGGGTGCGCCAGATGGAAAGTCCTACCCCAGACCTACATCAGATCAAGATCCCTTGTTCAACCTGACCACAGCAGTGATGGTAGGGATTGCAGTCCTCGGGTCTCTGGGGTGAAACCGAACTGTCCTGATGGCTGAGAGGTGCCAGGAGAGCCATACTGGATTCCTGCCATCTGCTGCTCTCCATGAAGCAAGCCTTCCATTCCTCTTCACTTTGAGATGTCACAGTTCACAGATAAAAGAAGAAAGGAAAATTGAAGGCAAGAAGGGCAGACGACGTTGGGGCTTGAGTTCAAAACCGCACACTTGCGGTAGACTTCCCTTACTGAACGTGGAGAGGCTTAGCTCAGGCAGGAACACCACAGTTTACACTGCCAGGTGCTTCCTTCTCACAATGACACTGTCTGTGACAGTGACTGCATTGTATTCAATCTGTAAGTATTTCTATTAAAAGTCTGTCATTTTTAGTTACGTCAGCGATGGTGCAGTAGGAGACACACAGCCCAGCAGTCCTGGCAGAGGCCTCCACTCAGGTGAAGCTGAGATTCATGATTTCACTGCAGGAAGGATTTCAAAATGTGCCAGCCTGAAGTCGAGTTAGAGTTTATTAAAGAATTTTTTTTTAAACACATAGATCTAAGTGTGTGGGGGTATGGCTGATAGAAAGGGGGGTTCTTGGTACAAGGACAGGATATGTCCAAAATCATGTTCCAGATGAGGGTCACACTTCATCGGTGGTCTTCATATTAGTGACGTGTGTGTTTGGTGGGTTCTGAAGCCATTCTCTTCAAAAGCCCACTAGGACTTGAATGAGTTCACAGGATGGTTCCCTAGGAGCATGGGGCAGTACAGAATTACAGCTGACAAGGTCAAACACTACATCACAAAGGATGTGCAGGAAGTTAGGGTATAGTCAATGTAACATTTCAATTGTGAGATTCTTAAAAACATTATCTGGGACGGGAGTAAGGCCACACTCAAGGTCATATATGCCCAGACATGAAGTGTGATTCGTTGCTATTTTAACATTCTTGTTTGGAGACAGCTCTATATGAAAGGAGTATTGTCCATGTTGACAACCTTCGCCGCATAACCAACTGTACAGCCCTTGTTGAATCCCAGCTGGTGAGAAGCTGCCATTGACTCCCGACCGTGGGGTTCCTTCTCCTTCCTGTAAGATTATCCCCTGTATTTCCTCTTTTTGTCCTTTCTCGTTACTGTAGTAATTTTTCATCATAAATTGTGATAACCACTATCACACATGAAATAATGTACCAGAGTTCCTCATTCCCCTGCCACGAGGCCCTTGTTCCCCTTCCCATAATATGCACTGTATAATAGAGCTGTTGCTAAGACACTTTGAAAGTAAAAACACTTCCCAGCCAAGCCCGTAGTCCACCAAAGCGGGGCCTTAGCTGACCTGCTTTATTCTGCTGAACCCAGAGGTAGAAGTAACTAGGCAACCTTGGCTGTCAATCAGCTGCTGCCACACAGGAACCATCAGAATGTGAAAGAGTTGCCTTTGAGAGGATGTCTGGCTCACTCTCTTGCATTTCATTTTGGCCTGTGGTCCTGGTCCTACCCTGCAGGCTGGCATGGGAATATTGTCAGGGTGGTTGCCAGGTTCCCTGGGAGCAGCTGCATGAGAGACATGAGCGGTCTCAGTCTGAGGCTGAGGCTGTCACACTGCCACTTGGCCACATTCTGCTGACCAAGTGATGCCCACCAGTTGTCTGATGCAGAGGAATGCACACTATGGCTTTCCACTGGAGGCCATGGGAAGAAAAGGGTAGAGGAAAATGACTCTTACCACCTCCAACCTACCAAATTTTGTTAAAAACCTCTTCCTTGTACAGGTTTACGTGGGTACTGCTGTTCCCTGTGTGTATTCATCCTTATATATATCGGTACTGCTGTTCCCTGTGTGTATTCATCCTTATATATATCGGTACTGCTGTTCCCTGTGTATATTCATCCTCTGATGACTCAGTAACTTCAAGGAGAAAAGACTGATTTTGGCTCCCAGTTCCAGAGGGTCACAGTCCCTCACTGTGAGGAGCAAAGCTGAGCCTTCAGTGCATGGTGACAGGAGCAGAGGCAGGGGCTTGTTGTGTGGTGTGGACCAGGAAGCAAAGAACAAAGGCTGGGGCCAGGGTCAAAGGTCTTCCCCAGTGACCCACTCCTGGCACCCAGGTGCCAACTCCTACAACACCTATAGCTCCAAAACAGGGCTACTAACTAGTGCTCAAAATACAAGCCTGCGGTGATGTTTCAGACTCAAACCATAGCACCATGCTATGCGTTCAGCATCTGGAGATTTGGGCTAGCTTTTGGAGAGTGTTTTCTGCATTGAGTGACTAAGCAGGCAGCATTGGGCTGAGGAAAGATCAACAGCACATTCCGTTGGGGCTGTAGTACCTCCCTCTCTTAGAGTCAGGCTCCCTAGTCAACTCCAGTCATCCTCCAGGGAGAGCTGAACAGGACCTTCATTTCTAGTTGTTGGAAGGCAGTAGATCAAATCCAGGTGCCCCCATGTCAAATATGTTGAAGTTTGTGTGTGTCAAAATTTGAGCTTGTTTGGGGACAAAGTCTACAAATAGTTAAAATGAGTGACATCCACCCTCCCTTCCTCCCTCTCTCCTTCCCCTTCCTTCCTTCCTTCCTTCCTTCCTTCCTTCCTTCCTTCCTTCCTTCCTTCCTCTCTCTCTCTCTCTCTCTCTCTCTCTCTTTCTTCCTTCCTCTCTTTCTTTCTGTCTTTCTTTCTTTCTCCACTTCTACCCCCTCTTTATTTTATTCTCTTATTAGATAGGGCCTAGCTTTGAATCCCCAGCTATCCCAAATATCACTACATCCCTTCTACAGCCCCCAAATGCTGGGATTTCAGGCATACACCACTAGGCTGGGTATCTTCTTTCTTCTTAAG